ACACACACACACACACACACACACACACACACACACACACACACACAGTTTTTTCTTATTCATGCAGCAAAATCAGGCTGTCGAGTTAAGGTGTGAATTATTCAGACCACTGGAGCAGAGACAAGTGGAGACGGCTTGCCTTGGGATGATTGAATTATTTGTAATAGTGCCTCGTTAAAAAAAACAGATTCTGTGTTTCAGTTCCAAAGAAAAGTAATCAATCGATGAAGGTGATCAAACGCATTTTGACATTGTCCAAGTCACCGCTGACGCATACTGTGCACCTCGCTTGCTTTTCTTCAAGGTTGGTCACACAGCCTTTCCTGTTTTCTGATGGATTGTGCACTAAATCTCGCATCTTAGTGTTGATTATTTGAAAGTTATTAGGGAGACCAAGGTGTCGAGGTGTCCTTGAGCAAGACACCCCACGGTTTCCTGTGTAGCTGACCATCTGTGATGTGGAAGGGGGCAAGCCAATAGAGAATATCCTCGTGGAGTTCAAATGAAATTATCCCTGACCTTTAAATTCCTGTTCACACACACACACGTTTGTTTGGTGCAGTGGATTTAAATCTTTCACCTTTACTTCACTTGTTGTCTGTAGGTCTTGTGAGTGTGACCCCAGCGGGACTGTGGACGACTGCTCTCCTCTGGATGGACGTTGTCACTGTAAGCCAAACGTGGAGGGGCAGAGCTGTGACAGGTGTGTTATAAGTTTGCTGCTTACATCACGTATGTGCACACATATGACCCGTGGTTACCCTCCCCTATAGAACAACTGAAACCCTTCCTATGTACAGAATATAGTGTTTTTAATAATGTATGAGCTTGAAACAATTATATTATCACTCCTAGATTTGATAGTAATGAATACAAATATTTGCTGCAGTATTTTCCCTCCTGCAGGTGTGGCAGTATGTTAAAGGTTTAAGAATCATTTGTCTAAAAATCGCTCCATGTTTTGGCGCTGTCCGTCATTGTGACTACTTTGACAGTGAACATGACTTTTCCAACATGTCAATAACCCCGTCTCTGCTTCCCCTCTGTCTGCTTCCGTCTTGCTCCTCTGGGATTTGGGATCAAACAGATAAACCCACCGTGACATTAGCAATACACACAGCCCCCGGTCTCAAACTATTGAATAATTCTGTGCTCCATGTTTGTTGACTTTTTTTGGTGATTTCACGGCTCGTTGAGCAAGCCCCTCTCCTGTGTAATGTGACCAGTGTAGTGGCTGATTTTTAGCGGTGTTCCTCTCCCACCCATATGGCAGCTAGTGTCTGTAGGTCAGAGCTCACGGTCCTTTCATTTGAGCTCCAGTTGGTCCCTTCTTCCAAAACACTGCAGTCTGCAGCACTTACAGCGATTAGTAAGAATAACACTATAGCAAGGATGTGGTAAATAGCTGCAATGAGGCGCGTGTGCAGCATATGAATGTTAATTACTTTTTATGCATGAGGGTATGTGTGTGTGTGCACCCACAGATGCAAGCCAGGTTTTTTCAACCTACAACAAGTGAACCCAGCAGGATGCCAAGCGTGTTTCTGCTTCGGCCACTCGCTGGTCTGCTCCTCGTCCGATCACTATGCTGCCATCAACATCACTTCTGACTTCTTTGAAGGTACTGTCCTTGACTCACCAGATAATAATGAGGTTTCCTTGTTCAGGTGGGATTGTAATTACCCAGCTAAAGTTAACAAGACCAACGATGTTTACTTTGTTCTGACCGTCTTAATTTTCCTTAACTACCACGTGTTTTATTGTGCGTTTTATTTATCAGTGAGTGTGTACTGTTTTGTGCACGTCGCTGTGTTTCTTTCCTGTATATCAACTTATTGGATATGTGGTTTTGTTTTATTTTTAGAGAGCCTTTTTAACATGTAGCCAAGAACAGATGAAAACTCAAGAGCTCAACGCTCTGCAACTTAAGAAAAGGCATTCAAACAGACAAAACACTGACTAATTAGAAAACCAATTTGACAACACATATGCAGCATAACGAAAGAAGCTGCAGACGCAGAAGAAAACAACCAATTTTAGAAAACACAAAAAAAAAGAAGTTGACTACCTGCCAATGGTGTTGGAAAATGAGCGATTTAGGTTTATTTCAGTTCTAACATTCTGAGTGCATGATTCATATATTATTGCACATAATCTGCTGAAAGTTATGTGTGTTTTCTTTAGTTTCAGCGTGTTGAGCCCTTAGAGCCACTGTGCACAGTTGTTGTATTTTTCTCTGTTGATCACAGATAGAATAAAACTAATAGAAAAATAATCTGAATTCACATCTCCGGTAAGAACTCAAATGTTTAAACTCTTTGCGAACACTAGTATGTACCATATCTATCCAGGCTGTTTGTGATGCAGAGGAAATCTATGATTCATGTTTGCTGTTGTCTCCAGATCAGGATGGCTGGTTGGGAGAGTTCTCCGGAGGGCAGGAGTACCCCCTGCTGTGGAAGGAAGGTGAAGTCTACCTGCTGCCTCTTACAGAGGAAGACATCGGCTTCTACAAAGCCCCTGGTGAGTCAGAATGGAAAATAATAGAGATTTGAGTTCATCCATGAAGACAGATCGTTACCTCGGGAAGGGTCAAATGGCTGGGATACTGTTCCAGGAAGCAGTGTTAGTATTGTTGACATTTATGTTGTTAGGTAAATAAATCCTCCAGCTGTTGCTCCTCTAGCAAATATGTAAATTGTATTGGTGTTAGTAGAGCATCTTTAATACCCGTAGCTTGTTCCTGTTGTTCCTTAGTGAGATTAATCAGGTTATTTGGCAGCGGGTCATGCGGAGGTTATTCTGACACCATTTCCTCCAATCCGTTATCAGAGCCATTAGAAGATAAGGGAGTAAGCTGGCCCAGCTACAGGACTTAGGGCCCATTTCTATCAGCCGCCCCAGCAGCAAAGGCCTGATGGAATTGGATGTCTTGGCCATGCTGGAGAAGCAACAAAGTGAAAATTGGCTTGGTTTCTTCTTGTCTCCACTAAGTCGATTCTAGGCATCAACTCACAGCCCCTCCAGCCGCCATGCAGTCCACAGCCAACAGCAAAACAGGAGCAATCCCATTAACTCTGCATCCTGGAGGCTTAATGCCCAAAACGCGCGATCACAGAGAACAACTCCATTTGGAGGAATCTTTTTTTAGAAAGATGAAACGCTTACAGCAGGATGTGACAAAGCCTGGTGGTCAGGCATAATTTGTAAAATGTCGTTATGAATGCGCTCATAAGACATGGATGTGCAAGTTTGATTGCTGTGTGTGTGTGTGTGTGTGTGTGTGTGTGTGTGTGTGTACATGTGCAAGTCCATAATGAATGCCTACAGTCTTTGCCATATATATGTGTAATTATAAATGTACATATTTAACAGCGTCTTTTAAAGTTGCTTTCTTCTTCACACGGGCTATAGTGACGTCTCTGTAGGCCACAACACACAGATTAGTGGCCCAACTGGCCGAGAGCAGCTTTGTGGCAGCCTGCTTATCTACTTCGCGCAGTGCTTGTTTATGTTGTTTCTCCACATAATAAATGCACAAATCTATTGCCTTGCCATCCCTATTAATGATCTCATTTCCTCTCCATTTTTCATAGTGGTGCATGTGTACAGTAACTTTAAAGATTAGACCAGAGTTGCAGCAGCTTTGAAAGCAGCTCTCAAATTATCTCTCTTTGCCAATGTCTCTGCTCTTTTACCGTTTAATTTGTATTTGTGCTGAAATCCCTCCACTGTATTCTTCACCAGAGTACGATATAATTCTGAGTGACAACTCCGCGTCGAGCATCATGCGAAATGCAATTTCTGTGATTCCCACAAATGTATTTGTCACCGTAGTTTGTCTTGGGCTTCAGCTGTCACACAAGGGACCGGATTCAATCATAGGCTCTTTTTATTGAATTCTTAGAGAGAACGGGGGTTTGGGATCTGCGTAGCTCACCCAGCTCCAGAAATATCAGCCGTCGCTGCAGAGGACAAGAGGTCAATGTTCCCTCAATAGTGCCTGACAAGGAGTTGTTGGACCAGACAGGAAGAGTTTGAGACAGTATGAAAGAAAATTAGAGAGAGAAAGAATTTCTATTAAGTCTCCTGAACTCCCAGTGACAATGAGGCCAACAAGGTGCTCATGCCTTCGTTCTTTTCACCTCTTCCTTTCTTCACCCCAATTGTCAAATGACCAACTCAGTCAGGACATCACTATTCCTCCTTCTTTTTCACCGCATGAAAACGTTTTATTTCTGCTCCCCTTTCTTCCTGTCACTACTAGTACGCCAAGTGCCAAAGTCCTAAATGTATACAGGTAGACGTGTGAAATGTGTATGCATGTAGACACTTGGGGACACAGTCTTCCTCTGATGCATGTGCAATACGACTTGTCCTGCTCCTGATCCTGGACATCTGCTTGACAGTTGACACAGGCGGGGCTCAAGTCCCCATCAACAGACTGAACACTTGAGCTCAGCTGCCAGGAACGATCATAAACAAACATGAAGTACCTCCCTAAACAGTTGCTTTGACCTGCCTCCAACAACTGTGGTCAGCACTTGATTCTGCTGGACAGTAACTGTGGCTCTCTTGGCTGAGCAGCGTTTCATGCTGAAGGGGAGATCATCTAACATAAGTCCTTACAGCCATCTGTTGAGGAGCTTGCAATGTTGATCCTTTTCATATCTGCAGCACAGGCCAACCTGCTAAGCCCGAAGCAACAGGGAGTTGAGAAAAGGAAAACAAAGAAGGGAGGGAAAATGTCTGAATTTAAATGAAACTACCCTCTTGTAGAAGGCAAGGGTGCAGCATATGGCTGCTCTTGTGTTCAGTTTAGGAGTGGAAGAGAGTAAGGATCCTTGAGAGCAGCTCCAGGCTACCTGTCACTGTGATTCAAGCAGCAATTGCTAAGCTAAGAGCCTCACACAACCTGAGCAATACCTGCACCCAGATCTGCATGTAAACCAGTCTGGGGGCTTTGTCATCTGGAAACAAAACAGAAAGAAGACGTAGCAAAGGAAGATGAGAAAAATGAGTGGAGGGATAGAAAGAGAAAGTAGAATGAACAAAAATGAGAAGCAGAGGGACAGTACACCAACATAGAAGGTGAAGGAGTGCTTGAGTGTGGCTTGAGAGTAAAGTATGCTTGAAACAAACTCAGTTGTGCAAATTGTTGTCTGGCCACATCTAACTGTAAAAGTGTTGGTACCCATTCCAGATGGCCTCACTCAAAGGCCTGGTGTAAAGCCTGCCATCATAGCCTCCTCCTGCCTGCATCCTAGTGCATCCCCAATCTCTCTCCGAGAACTCTGTGTCTCCTGCGTGTTCTGTTGTCTTGACACAGACAGTTCTTCGGCCAGTGTCTTCATCATGTTGTGCTTGAGAGAGCTTGAGAGAGTGACAGAATCCATGCCTACTTTCTTCCCCTCCAAACACTTGACCAATCACTGCGTGGTCCTGCCAATTCCAAGGTTGGAGAGATTTTGGCTGGGGGGACTTCAGACGCTTTTAGACAATCTGTCGGCCACTTTGTTAGAGCATTCTGAGGACTTAAGGCTGTTCCCACTGACAACAGCGCTTTGTCAAAAACATCCAATATCTTCATTCATTTTAGATCACAGCATTGGCACAATGATGCAGAGTGCATGGTGAAGTACATGGCATTAATTGTTTTGTTTTTTACGTGGTATCGAGAATTGTGGAATATCAGTGGTATCAGTATTAACACTAGATTTCTAGTATGGTAACATCCCGAGTTAGACCTGTTTAAAAGTTTAAAGTTTCATCCATCCTTTGCCCTCAGATTGTCTGCATCGTTGGTCGATGTTAGAGCCTCAGTGGGGCTTGTGTTTGTGTAAGGCGGCTGGGATTTAATTGAAATTGAGTTGATTTAATTTGGTTGGAGCAAAGTCTAAACCCCCTGATTGATCGCAGGCTCCTCTGCCATTCCCCCAAATTTATAGGGGAATCTATCACTTGTTACGGTAGAGACTACATGTTCCTGGCAGAGTGTCAACGGCAGCACAGCCGGTGGACTTCAGATCATGCTGAAAGACAGAGAAACAAAATGGAGTGAATGGCACAAGTTAAAGCTTTGGTTCTCTTCATTCTGTTCCGTTTTGTTGTTTATTAAAATATCAGCAACAATTACTTTCATTTTTTACATTTTAAAATGTTGGGATTTTTGCTTTAAGGAATACTTTGACATGTTGAGGAACACTCAAAGTTTGCACTGTTAATACTATTAGCACCGTTAGCTTTAAGCCGCTCCTTATATGATGCACCTTTAATAAACCATTTAATGAAGAATCAGCTGATCAATTCATTGCCTAATGGTTGAAGTACTACACATGTTTTTTCAAAGAAAGTCTATCTCAGTTTTGTGAGAAGAGAAACATCCTCATATACTGTATGTGCAGCCGGGCACACTGTGGTATTTAGAGATTGCTAAACTTTTTAATTCTCTCCAATTTGTCATGTGAGATATAATAATGAATATAAATCCACGGCAATACACAGACAGCAGATCACGCTTACACATGATTAATCCTTTCATTGTTTTTTTTTATAGTGATTCATTGCTTTGGAGAGGGGCCCGCAAGTGCGGCCATTTTTGGATGGTCTATTAGGGTTATGAGTAATTATGCTGTGGTACCTCCGTCCTCACAGACAAAGAAAGAACCACCAGGAACCACACTGACGCAAATCCGACTCCAGCAGAATAATGGCCAGCAAGCTGGAACATAACCACTCACAACCATAAGGGAGCACTTTAGTAAAGAATATTAGCTTAGTCACACAACAGCATTACTGGGCTCATTACCCACCGTTATGCAAGGAATGTGCAGTATATATTTACTATTAATCATTTCAAAAGTAATATCTGTTGACTTTTATTTTCTGTGAACGCGAGTTTCCTATATTACTCATTATAACAGTGCATCACCTCCCAAATATAGCTAATTGCCTCTTCTCTTTTCCCAAAAATGGTGGCTCTGCTGAGACTGTTTTCACTTATTACCTTAATGTAACAATGATCATCTGTTGGCCGATGTCAAATATGCAGCACCTAATAGAGGAGAGTGTAGAGATTGTGTCTAAATTTTATTAAAATATCCACACAAAGGTGTGCTATATGGAGCTCAGAACCTACAAAAGGCAATTACTAAATGCTATTATTATTATTATTTAGTATAAAAACAAGGCGATTTTATGCTTTTATCTATTTATATTTCAGCCTTTTAGTTTTCCTTTTCTTAGGTCTTGGTGCACACTTAATCATTCATTGATTCTCTCTTTTCATCCCCCAACATTTACTGTTCTCTTGCCCGCATTTCCTGAACACACCGAGCGCCAGCCTTCTTAGCTAGCTACCGAGCTGCTGCTATCTTTCATTATAAAATCATCCCAACCAGTGGAGCTAACGTTAATCATCATGCTCAATGAGTAAATGTAATCCATATGCTGTACAAACAGCAAATACGAAGTAAGAAAATATATTTTTTGGGGGAAATTTGGGCAAATAGTTTTAATACTAAAAGCAATCCGTTTTGTGTTTGGGTCTGAATTTGCACCGTATGAGTGGTGGCTTCTTGGAGTCAGGAATGCGTATTGATCTATTGTTGTTGTTTTTACCCCTCATCCATTTCGGTTGTTTTTCCACTTGGTAACATGTTTCGCTGTGAGAGAGCTCATTGAAGGCATTCCTATCTAATTGGTGATGGATTTAATCTAATGCTCTTTTCTTTTCCCGACTGCCTGATTTTTCTTATTCTTTGTCATCAATATGTATTGATTCTGAAACTACACTGAGATGTATGGAAGCTCATTTCCCTTGAGAAAGCGCTTTGTCTTTACTGCCGATTGGTGGTTTTTAAGCTGCTCCCCCTGCTCCTGATTGGCTGTAATTATCTATTTTCTATTGATTCTGAAGTCACATTGACATGAATGATGCCTGACTGGACTCAGAACAGAAAGTGCTATTGATTGGTCATGTAATTGAAGCCTTTCCCCTTCCATCACTGCTTGTTTTTCATTTCTTACAAATACTGATCCCACGTGTTGAATGGTAAATATAGATAACACAGTGTGTTGTGCTTCATTCATGTATCCTCTCATTAAAATTGAATTGCTTAAAGTAACAGCTGAGACGGAAGGCAGCAGGATCTTTTCTTTTATCTACGAATATGAAAAAAGCTCAGCTTTTTGAGTTTGGTTCGTTATTTGTGAAAGTTTGCAGCTTATTAGAGAGAACAGAGACACAGTAATGTGTCACTTGTTTCATGGAGAGTGGAGCAGGTGGACTTAAATGCAGGAGACGGCAGGCAACAGGAATAGAAAGAAATAACTTTTATTTAAAGTCTGTGCAGGCAAGGCAAAACTGAACATTACAGAACAGAACCAAGGATTCAACCAGGACTTAAATATGACACGACTATATAAGAAGTGGACGTATAGTCACCGTGGCATCACTCATTGGTTTGTGGAATACGATTGAAGCCTAGAGTTCAGCATATTGGCCGGTTTTGTTAGTCGTCATCTTAGTTTTTTGGAACCAGAAGTGACACGAGATTGTGGAGCTGAGTATAACCGAACGCTGAATAAGACATTTTTCGGCGACCAAATTGTTAAAATGTACTTTCATAAACACTGTGAAAGGGTTAAAGTTCAAAGACTAAAAACATGAACAACGCCCAGACTGGACAACGCTGTGAGCACCCTTTCAAAAAGCCATGCCCTAAGCATGTTTTGTTGCCTATTTTACTCTAAAGGGCCCCCTGATGGCCAATAGAGAGAAGGCAAGCTTAAGGCACTTGCACAATGGCTTCACCTTTCAGAGACAGAGGTTTCCGCCTGATTTAAATACAAACGTACCTAACAAGGAGTGAAGTGTAGGTGTAGAGATGGGCAGAGAAGCTCAGGTGAGGGGAATGTGTTGATTGGCAGGGGAACAAGAAAAGGACTAACGAGGCTGATTCAGAGCAGGTGTGTAAATAGACAGAAAACCCAAAACCAAGAAAACAAAGTCTACAACTATCCCCACTCTTCACAAGAAACCTGAAGGCATCTGGACACAGAGCCAGAGTGTGACAATTTCAACACATGAGAGCAGTTTAATTTTAACTCTATGATATATAACTAATATATATATAATAAATAAAAAGAAGTGATTTGTAAAGCTAATATTTATTGGACCATGAAACAATAACAATAACAAAAACACTATTGAAACTAATTGAAATACTAATTACATTGCTCCCTACTCAAATAAAGTAATAACTTACTACTAATAACTTTAACACATCACTGATTAGTACATTAACCGACAGCATCCAAAAACCTGATTTTGGTGTGTCAAAACGTGTGGCCTTACAGAAGTGTTGCAGGTCAGATGAAAACACAAACTAATCTGACCGTCAATGTCACAGTGAGAGTGGGCTGGAGATGTACAGAAGGGGGGCGGTTGGTTGAGCAGATATTAGACGATCAGGCTGTTGAATTGCTCGGCATGACGCCAAAGGCACCTCGCAAGCAAAATCACCCACTCAAGTCCTTAGCCCTCCCAACCCCCAGAACAGCTGAGGATGTACTTCACACACGATTACACTCAAAATCAAGGTGGCAACCAAGCGTGCAACCTGTCGGTTTTGCCCACTCGCTCACCTAGAGCAGGTAGAGAATGGCAGCATAGATGTTTTTTTCCAAAGATTGTTATGATTTTTTCATTTTTACAGCTGAACTGGTGCAAGATGTTCTACAATAGCATGTGATGTGTTGGACAGCAAGACTTCTGTCTATTTTTATATATCAAAAGCACCACTTGTGAATGTTTTTTCCTTTAGCCAGCTTTGGGATGTTGGTGGTGAGGTGGGGGTATGTCTAGTGGTGGCTAAGATCTTTGAAGTCCTGTAAATGTGCTGTAATGAGCCAGAGATGAGAGGGTGGGTAATTACACATAGACTCTTGCAGTGTTTTATGTGTGCTCACAAAAGCCTGTACCCCTCTGCCCTGATGAACACACACACACACACACACACACACACACACACCCACACAGACTGAAAGAGAAAGGAATGGGCAGAATATTTCTGAATATCCACAAAAAATAAATGCTAATTCAGCTTCCACCACAACACACTTGCACAAACAGAAATCCGTGTGCCCTCTGCGTTTACTACATTAATGGCAGAGAGTTGGCTGATACTTCAATAATAAAGCTGACTACACTCACCTCTCTAACATCCAACCTCTGATCGCCCACCAGATAAATTCCTGGGTCATCAAGTCTACAGCTACGGCCAGCTCCTCTCCATCACCTTCACCTCCGAGACCTCCGAGCTGCTCCCCGACCACGTCACCTTGCTCCTCCAAGGCTCTGGAGTCACCCTATCTGCTGACCTTCCACCCCAACCGGTGCTTGACCACGACCCCGGCCTCACGTTGCAGCACTCCTTCGTTGTCAGGTACTAGGATGCAGGCATGGGGCCGTCAGTTTGTAAGTCTGTGCACATGCTTTTCTTTTTTTTTTTACTGTTGAACTTGTGTCTCTGGAGAATACCAAAGCGTTTGCCTTAATGTGTGCATAAGAATGGATGTTGGGATGTTTGTTTTTCTCTGCAGCTATGCAACTCCCTGTTGCCTGACTTGTTCCTTGTTACAATATAGACATAGAGTCCGCAGAGTACAGACTATCCAGGACACCCATGCACTGACTGCAGCTCAACTACGTTGACAGTGCTGTCATGGTCCCAGCAGAATGTCAGGATATAAATGTAGTGATGAGCCAGCTCCCCCGTGCGCTCGCTGTCATGTAGATCTGCAGGTACAGAGCAGCAGCATTGCATTTACAATTTTCCATTTTATACATTTGGCAGATGTTCTCACCCAGAGTGATGGGAAATGTGTACAGAAGTGGAATGACACAAAAGTCACCAAGAGTAAAAAATAGGTGATAGTAAGGGAGCGCAGGAGTCAAACTTACACTTAGCTGACAAATTATCAAGGAGGTAAAATTAAGGGATTACAATTATTATTGCAATTCCTCCTAAATGTGAATGTGTGTACTAAATCTCATTTTACTTAAAACCACAAATTTGAACCTTCTTGAGACTTGTCTGCACAGGATTTTGTATCAATCCATCAAGCAGATGTTGAAATTTGTCACTGGTGAAAACTTTGACCTGCTGTTGGCGCCAGTTTTAAAGTCAAAGGATCACCTAAGCCTTTATGGACTCGGGGGGGGGGGGGGGCCGTGGATGTCTCTACCGAATTTCATGGCAATCCATCATATTGTTGTTGAGGTATTTCAGTCTGGACCAAAGTGTTGGGCCCGTTGAACGACCATCCCTTGAGCCACGGCGCTAGCGTGGCTAAAAACAGGTTAGTTTAAGAAAGATGGGATTATTCTTTAAAAGGTCACATCAGGCCACCGATATATGAATGTAGGAAAACTTCTCTGGAGCTATAGGAGTCTGATATTTTGACGGGACCGGCAAGGTCACTCTACTAGTATGCTCTAGGAGGCAGGGAAAGGAAAGCTAAGTGGATTATAGCGACAGCATGCAGAGTGCTAGATTGAGTGCCCGTGGCCTGGAAGTACAGTTATATGGGCAGTGGTCCCTTTGCAGCCTGATATGCCAACCCCGGGGCTTCAAATTGCATGTAAGCAGCCACGGAGAGACAGCAGATGAATTCTGATATTATTGATTTTGATGAGAAAAACTCTGTCATTGAAGGAGCAAAGTAAAGGTAGTATGTAGATTGTACAAAAACCTTGTGACGAGGCATTACAATTGTTACTAATATTTAGACCTTGGAGGTAGGTGTAGTTTCTGTTAGAATTCAACAGCACCTCTTTGAAAACTGCAGCAATCAAAATCAAGCTGTGACACAGTTCCTGTCACAAAAAGCTGATTATGTTTACATTACTTGTAGCTGTCAGTCTGCTGTTTCTGTTTTCTTGTTGCCTACTGTTCGATTAGATTACGTTTTTAAATTGAAATAGTTTGTTTGTGTTGAAGACAGTCAATTAGCATCTCTATTTGGAAACTGGTACTAAAGCAAGGCAAGGCAAAGAGAACAGAAAATATTAAGCTAAAATAGAATAAGACGGGTATAAAAGGCAGCGGCAAACATAAAGTCTTCAGCCTTGATTTAAAAGAAGTGAGAAATGTAGCTGACCTGCAGCTTCTTTGGTGTTTGTTCCAAATATATGGTACATAAAAACAGAATTCTGCTTCTCCGTGTTTAGTTTCACCTCTGGGGACAGAAGGCAGACCCGTGAGGTCTGGATGGTTCATAATGTAGCAGAAGAGCCGATCATAGAAATGTAAACTATTACGATCCACGTTCTTGTTCCTAGTGAGGACTCGAGCAGCAGCGTTCTGAATCAGCTGCAGCCTTCCAATCCATTTTTTAGGGAGACCTGTGAAGACACTGTTACAGTAGTCGAGTCTTTTGAGGACAAGTTTTCCCAAATCCTGCTGAGACATAAGTCCTTTAATCCTTGATATATTCTAAAGGTGATAGTAAGCTGACTTACTATTGAATGTTGAAGTCCATGACTACACCAAGTTTTCTGGATTGGTCTATTGTTGTTAATATTGCCGATTGGAGTTGAGTGGCAACTTTTAATTGTTCCTTCTTGGCTCCAAAACAACTACGTCAGTTGTAGCTTTGTTTAATTGAAGAAATTCCTGGCACATCCAATTGTTGATTTGATTGGATGAGAGCCGTCTTGTGCCAGCATGCATTTAGTTTTTTCTTCACTATATTATGACCCTGAGTTTATTTGTATCACTGTTTAAACACGTTTGTTCTGAGACATTTATAATTGTTTTTAATTTATTATTTATTATCCCAGATGCAGTTATCTTAAATAAATCTTCCAATATACTTATGGGCATGTGAGTACTGTCTAAAGACTCAAAAACATGTGAACCTATCTTGAGCTTTTGCCTTCGGCCAAGTGACAAAATCAGCCTCTTCCTTCAAGATGTTCATAGCGTCTGCCTCACCGACATACCAAAAAGGCAGACGGTGCTAGAACATGTCGTTCCTTCCTAAAGGAAGCAGCCTACTCTCATCGTCTGTGTTGTGAGACCAGTCCAATTTGTTGCTGTGACTGACCGTCAGCTATATGAAGGACTGTTCCACTTACTCTGCTTGAAATCCTCTACCCGCGTGGTTCTCCTTGCAACAATTTGCTCTCTCTCTCTCTCTCTCTCCTGCAGGCCTTTTTTCCTTCTTGCCCTTCACTGTAAAGTGGTCAATCCGGAGGCGGGAGTGATTGGGGCGGAAAAGCTGACCCCTGGTGTGACGGCCTGTGGGGAAGCGGGAGCGTAATCAGTCATATTGTTAGAGAGAGAGATCTCATATGGTCCGTCAACTTGGGGGAGTGGGTGGGTCTCCGCATTCAACCTGTTAAATACAGACTTAAGTCATTCACTCTATTTTTGTTCTCTTCCCCCACTTGGCATGGCGTCTTGTAGCCAGTAATCCTTCTCATCCCACTCAGCACCTCCTTCACACTGTTTTGTTGCAATTTGTCTTCAATTTTGCCCCAGTGTTTCTTTCTTTAATTCTCCTCCTCAGCACACGCGGACCAGCATAACTTCCTCCCTGTAGCCAGCTCTGCAAACCCTCTCTCTCCCCTGGGTAGAGATTTGATTTTCTTTGTTTTCTACAGTTTGTTTGAACTGCAAGAAACAGCAAACTGTTCAGGGTCCACATGGAAATAGACATGTTATGCAGCCAGGGAGCTGGGTATGTTCCAGTCCATTAGCTCGAAACAGTCCTGTAGAGCCTCCACATACTTCTGGGATCACACTCTTAGAGTCGTGATAACAATGGACAGCTGTCTGTTGGCTGCTGCTGAAAGGAATCTAAAGAAGTAGGGATATGTTCAATTTTAAAGAAACTGAAGCATGATGACACATGATGATTAAAGCATGAGCAAAGCGCTGGCCAAACTCCGCGCTGAGGAGTGGTCTGACTGATAGGGTTGTGAAGTGTAAACCTGCAGAATGTTGTTGTGATTGTAAGGAAGTGCTCATGCAGCAGTTGGTTGTCTGGAATCCCACTAAGACTGTTGGCAGTTTGGGCAGGAGTCAATATACTCGCACCGTTGTCTGTGTTGGTGGGAAAACACAATTTGACAAAGGCCAGGACAGTGTTGTTGAAATTGCTTTTAGTGTGGTGGGTAAAAGAAGAGATGCCCCCTTCAACTGGAGTGTCAGCTGATGGGAAAGTTTGTTACTGGCAAAGTAATGGCAGTATGATGGAATAATACCTGCTTTAGTGTGGAATATATCGCTTTGACGCTGCTATATTTGATATTAATGCATTTATTTGCTGCATGCAAACCGTCTATATCCTCTATAGTTTGAATAATTTTAGCCGTGCTGCTAGCTTGGCTCTAGAGGTCTGATCAGTTGTCACTTTGGTCACGACTGTTTAATGATTATGTCAGCGGCTGACTCCCAATAACTTTGGTGATCCCCTGACTTTTCCTCTAGAACCACCACAGGCTTCACATTTATGGTTTTGAGTCAATGTTTCACCAACTATTTGATGTATCTCTGAAATCTGGTACAGCTCTCCACATGTTTATAGGTTTTGGAAGCTGCCCAATTTCCCGTACTGGGCTGACAAAGACTGTCTGATTACAGCTTCTCAAAATGTTGCATAAAAATGCAATTTGAATTCAAAGGTCATCCTTTGCAGCCTCGAGAATCCCTCAATATATTTTGCTGTAAACACACAACATTGGTGCTGAGTGGGTACCTACGGTGGGTTTGTAAGAGCTGCATGGTGCGGTAAAAAACAACAATTAATATGGAATTCAACATCTACCGCTTAAGGCCACCTTCCTGATGATAAACATTTAAATATTTGACCGTTCAAGTTGACAAGGAGCTCTTGGATGCACCATTAGTTTGGTTCCAGTGAATAGTCTTAACGTTGTGCAGAGGCTCTTCAAGTCAAGTAGGATGCATCTTCTTTGCTTGCCCCATCAGAGGATCTAGCCCCTGAACTGGGACACTTCTTGTGTCTTCCTGTCCCCTCCAATATTTCCACGCCTCTCTCTGGTGTCTGCGCACTAGTAATGACTTTCCCCATTGCACCATGAGCCGCTGGCTGAAGAAGCTCTTTGGTTCCTTTTCTGAAATGCACTGGAGCTTGGGGGACAGAGACTGTCATTAAGTGTTCCTCTCTGGAGAAGTTCTCCACAGATCTCATTACGCGTCTCAGGTACATGCACAGATGCACTCCAGTGCATGCTCTCTATCATTCCCTCACACTTCTTCTGTCTCTTCCTGCCTTTCTCTGCCACACACACACACACACACACACACACACACACATGTGTCTAAGCTTTCACACAAGCACGTCAATCCATGTGGCCATCTGGCTGTGTGATTTGCAACAATCCGATGCAACATGTGTCAAAAATAATCATGTTTTCGAAGATGTGTACACATTTTCAAGCGTTTCGCTAAAAGCATGTGAAAGCTTAAATTAACATGAGCAGAAGCACACACAGTCCACGTGTTTGTTGACTGACAGCATCTTTGTTCATGGCTGACAAACATGTTGAACTGTTAAGTGGAGATCATTTCAATATCAGATGATGGGTAAATATATGGAAGCGTGGGGATTTGAGCGCAGGGGACAGATGAGAGGGGGAGGTGAATGGCTTATATAAGGTAGCATCCACTCTTCTCTCTGATGTTCCCTTTGTTCACTTTCTGTTCCCTTGAAACCAGTAGGCGGGGAGGTTTTTATTGCCTTGCTTGTAGCTGTATGTTTTACGTCTGCCGCATGGAAGCATAATATGTATGCCATAAGGAACGCCAGAGATGATTAACGTTCTACATACAGTGATCAGCTGTTCACTGGTGTCACTGCCAAAAGAATCAGATAACTGCTCATATGATTGCCTTTCAAAAGGTATGAGCCAATTTGCAGGAGTCAGCAGAGCTGTCGTAGTGCAGGCATGTGGTCCATCTGGCACCGAGCTCATTTCTGTCATGTTTTCAAAATTCACTGACTTTGATCAGAGATCAGGGCCAGCTAAATATATTAAACAGAAAGCAGGCCCATTGCTGCCAAAAAAGAAAAAGGCGATGAGTGACTGAGGAAAGCGAGAAGAAACATGGCGTTATATGGGGGTAAACCTATGATTCATTTCTGATTTATTACATTCCCAAGCTCAGTTCTTGTATTACTTGAGTTTACAATAACGTTTTGTGGGTAACCAGAGCTGTTGTATTTGTCGTCAATAATTGAATTCCTGATTTATGATATGAAATACTGTATATGCAGATTTTAGGTTTGCCTTTCAAATTTCTGTTCCAAACTGCATTTTATTAGAATTCTGATAGTATCACATGTATGTATAAATGTATAATTGGCAGCAACTTTTGGCTGTCACAGTCTCATCATCAATAAATAAAACAAGGAGAAATTGATATGGTAGTCTTACAACAACAAAGCTTTACTTAAAGGAACTTAGACTACAAGCCATGTCACTAATCTTTCTAAATGTGTAGAGGTCTAAACCAACAGGTTGAATAGTTAATCAATAAATAAAGCAGGCAACTCTTCAGTCAGCTCTTTACAGTCTCTTCCGTGGAATGAGTCACAAACTTTGGTGAGTGCGTGTTGCTTCAGACGGCGGAACGATAAGGAATAACAACCGAGCCTGATGACTCATTTTTATTTGTGAGGATCAGAGAGCCATTGAAAACTTGGCTGATAGTGAGATACTCACTGGGTTGGACGCCGTAGTCGGTTGTTCTACAATTTGTATCGCCAATCCAATTAAAATGTTTGTTTTTTTCACAAGCAGATTGGCACAATTAGAAGAGGCTATTTAATAATTTGTCCCCCTGCACATTTTATTCGAGTAACTCTTTTGTATTTTCGGTTTTAGACCAATTTGCATGCATACGTATTTTCCCAGTTATCATTTCTCTGTTTCTCTTTCTGTCTCTCACACACTGTTCATGTCTTGCTGTCTTGCTCACCTTGTATCTCTATCTCTGTTTTCTCTCTAAGGGGGCTTGTGTGTGTGTCTGGGTGCGCAATTGTCCAGTTTTCTTTTCGGTTTTTCTCTCCCAATGATCTCCTCTCATCCTCAGCGGAGCAGGCTTAATTACAGTGTGGCTCTCCGCGCTCTGCTTGGTGCTGATTAAAAGGGACACTGACGCTCCATAGGGAAAGCATGACTGGGAGTTTGTTCACTTTCATGCACACTCTGCTTATCTCTGTCTGACCAGCTCCATTACCATGGCTTTGAGGCCCAGTTTGTAATTGCCTCTCTTTATTACTGCGCCTACATGTCAGGCCAAGGAACAAGGAACTGCCGCACCGATAGAGAGTCTGTGTGGCAAGCTCGGAATGCACACACACACACACACACACACACAGATGCTGTCATGTGCACAGTAAAAAAGTGAATGCTGAGACAGAGGCCATGTACCAAAAAAACCAAAAACATTTTGAAAGTGAACTAGTGTCGCGCTGAGAGCTGTTGACCTAATAAAATAGAGGCCATTAAACGCACACACATGAAAGGCCTGACCAAGGCTGATATGGTCAACAAACTTAAGGTTTTACACTTCATTCGTTCCAGGTTGTTCCCTATGACTACAAGGTCCATATATTATAATTGATTACCACTTTCAAAAAAGACGCCCTCTATAATTTTGATTTATAACGAATGCCTCTACGAGTCTACAGTCACGCATAAGGCCTTACTTAACGGGCCAGTATACTCAGTCAGAACTGCTTGTCGAAGGTCAAATAGCTTTGGAAACCCCCTCCCCCAACTTATGTATAGATATACTATATACTCACTGTAGTTCAAAGGGGTTCGCATGCTAACATTTGCTAATCATTGCTAAACACAAAGTTACAGCTGAAGCTTCAGGTAATTGGACAGTTTGGACAGATACAATTTTCGACCTGTCGCCGGATGAATATTAAGACTTCACCAAAGTTGCCACAATTCATCCTGACGGGAACCCGAATGTCTCCACCTAATTTCCTGGTAATTCATACAGTAGTAGTTGTGATGTTTCACTCAAAACAACAAATGGTGGCACTAAATGAAAGTTCAGGAGTTCTTCATCTGGGGATTGTGAATGTCCGTACATAATGCTCGCTTTAGCACTAGAGTGCCCACAAAATCTCTGGTATTCCCTGGTGGTGAAAAAATTCCTTTGGCTGGTCTTTTTCCTTTTCTCCTTCTGGAAAAGAGCTGCAGACCACCTGGACCAAAACCCAGTCATTAACACCTGAATTTATAACTGCACACTTAGTGGCTTATTAGAAACTGAGACACTCATGAATTCTTATTAATGATTAGGGAGAAAATGTTACCTGTAATTGTGCTTCGTACACCTGTACGTGAAGATTACATGAATCTGTTCCTTCACGCTGCAGCTCCTCTCTCTTGGGACCTTCACACAATACTGGGAGAAAACATTGTAACACTGCATCGCCTGTGTGGAGCTGACACAGCACCTCTCATCAAGATGGAAAGAGTGCATGATTCCTGGAATAAAACAGGCAGATGTCAGCTGTGCAGCCTGGCTTTGCAGAACATCCCTCCGCAGATGGCAAAGCTCAGTGATCAAGACCCTGAATATGTGTTGAAGTCAGCACATTTCAATTTTTCATCACACTGTGTGTGTGTTGCCTGGTAGTGCTGTAGATAACCTCCGATAAAAAGGTTAAGCACATTTGTGACGGGCCGTGCGGTAGCTTCTTACTTGTGGAGAGTAATTAAATTGCTCTAAAAAGTCACACACACACATTTACACTGTTTAGCCTTTTGTACCTTTAAAATGTTTGTGGTGTTCAGTCACAGTTTGTTTGCATGTGAATGCACTATACTGTTACTGATGTTTTTTCTGTTTTCTTGTCTCACAGGCTTCATGAAAATGAGATGAGATTTAAGCCTCCATTGTCTGCCTTTCAGTTCCAACAACTCCTCTACAACCTGACAGCTTTCAGAATCAGCAACGCCGGAGGACAGAACTGTAAGTGTCTGTTTGTGTGTGCAAAAATGCAATTAACACAACTAGTCTTGGTTCTATTTTGTCTTTTAACTTAACTTGTCATTTACACTACAATTACAGTATTTAGGTGTTATGGTTGGAAAATAAACATCATGTAATGTAATTGTTAAATGCATGACCATTTCCAAACAATATCAGCAAAATTTGAAGTGCCACAGAAAGATTTCCAAACTTTGACATTTTTATTTATCAAATATACATTGACATCACAAAGTAGCTACAGCTGCACCAAAAATAGTTGCTAAAACAATGTCAGTGCCTGTATTCGGGGAATAGTTCAACTGTTCCAAATCTGGCTCAGCAAAGAACGGGACATTTATTCCCAGATGTTAGTAACTAGTTCTCGAAATCCTCCTCTTATTTGTATCATGTCCCTGCTCCCTCTACCATTTGATAGTCTGTATAGTAAAGTACAGGCAGGATCTTAGAGGCATTACTGCGGATTAGAGAACCAAAAAGACAGAACAGCTGGTCAAAATCACCAGCTCCCACTCACTTACTTACACCATTTTAATTAGTTGCTCAGTGCAGGCGTTGTGACACTTTTGTGGTGTTCCACTTGCAAAAAGACTGGCACAGAAGTCTGAAGCCCAGTCATGCATATTCCACCAAATTGTTTCCCGTAACCACCCACCCACATGAACGTGCAAACAAAGTCATACACACAGTTTACACTGCATCTACTGCACATCACAGGGGAGAAGCTCTGTTAATGATTTGTGTTAGGTCTCAAACACTGTATTGGAAGTGCCTTATCGCTGCAGGCTGCGCAGCAAACTTTCATTCCAAATTCTCATAAAGCTGTCCTCTCATCTTTCTCCTCTCTCCCTCTCACACTCTCCTTATTCTTTAAATTCCTCTGCATCACAGAGAGAAAGAGTCTCCTCGAACAGAACTGCATTATTTTAATGAGAGTATTGTCTTTGAGACTATAAAGGTGGGCTTTGACAGGAAAGTCCTTTCATTTTTTCCGCCACATACAGAGTTTTGAAAAGAGAGCATAGCCTTATTGGAAGTTTATAATAAATAGCGTAATATACAGTCACCAAAAGAAAGCTAAACTGTCATAGTCCACAGGGCTGCAGCGAGCCATTAGAGATTCAAGGGAATTACAATCTTGACTTGTCCGACAGGGTTTCTTGTAGAAAGGATTGATGGCTCGAACTTGCACAGCATGACTTCAAATTAAATCATTTTAATTAACTGCGATATAGGGTTCAGTGTCTGAATATTGTTTTAATTGCACATTTTCCCCCATTGAATGAGCTAATAGAATTCAGGAGATAGAGGGGAGTAAAGGGTAGAGGATAAGGCGAGTCGTAGAGAGGGAAGAGGACAGTCTTGCCTACTGATTATCCCTCAGAGGTGCAAATGAACTGGGTTTCATCATCACTGAAGGATTGGCTGGATCATGACTTCTTAGAAGTCAAGGTCCGTCCTCTCCTCTGGATCTTCCGCACAGATTTCCCTCATTATGCAGCCACCCATTCACACATGGTTAATTCCTTATCGGACAAAGCTACATATCGTGCAGAGCATTCGATCCATCCACCCATCCATCCTTCTTGTGTGTCTTCAGTGACAGCAGACACAGCGTTGGCCCAGGAACAAAAGTAATTTTGTGTTCTGTGGCTGTGGTTGAGAGAGTGTAGGGTGGAAGGGATTCGGTTCAGGATGGCCTGCTGCCATCACTATTCATGAGAGGAGAGAGGGATCTTGAAACCCCACAGGAACTGCACATCTGACATACCTCCACCGACTCTCCTGTCTCCTTTTCTTCTTGTCTTGCTGTGCTGCAGTGATTTATTCATTTGCTATATCAAAGATTCCCTGGGTGACGAGTGTACGTGTGTGGGCGTATGTGTGCGCTTGTGTGTGTGCAAGTGAGTATTAAGTATGGCATTTATGGGCGTGTGGGAGAATGAATCTGTTATTGTTTGTGTGTGTGTGTGTGTGTGTGGGTGGGTGGGTGTCAGACTGTTAACTGTAAACACAGGCCAGAACCTGTAATGAGACAGGGAGGGAGGGACAGCACTGCAACAAATGCTAATAACCTACTGCTTAACGAGATACAGAGACCCACAAACACGGACAGACACACACACACACATATATATCTACACATACCCCTGATTCCAGAGAAAAGCAGATGCCCCAAACACTTAAAAAGCCCACTGAGGCAACAATTGGTCAGTTTAATACTGACCTTTGCAAGCATCAGTTTTACGCCAAAGCGATCTTCCCGTCTTTTCTCCTCCTTCCTCTCCAGACACATCGCAGCTTGCGGGGGTAACCCTGACCTCAGCTCTCATCTCCTCTGGTCCGGCCAACCCTCCCGCCCCATGGGTGGAATCTTGTTCCTGTCCCCCGGGGTTTGCAGGCCAGTTCTGCGAGCGGTGTGCCCCGGGATTCACCCGGGAAGACTCTGCCAGAGGACCTCTCTCGACATGTGTGCCATGCAACTGCCACCAGCATGGAACCTGTCATCCAGAGACAGGTGATAAGTGAATCATGAACTGTATATTTGTTATGTACACAACTGTGTTGAAATATCTGTGTGCATAATGACTTTGGTGCCACTTCCCTGACAACCAATCGACCTATTTCATTGATACCTGTACATGTAGAAAAGCCTTTAAAAAAAGCCGGAAAATGTAAGTGCACAACTTTTTATATTTAAAGGAGAACTCCACAAGTTTTACATGCCAAAGTCAATGTGCTCCACAGCCCGTAAAAACAGCTATAAATTGTTTTCTATGGCTTTTGAGTAGGTTTGCGAGGTTTTAGAAAATAACGGTAACAAGTGATATTACTTAAGTATATCAGCTTGAATTTGAGGGTACAAATACTTACCGAAAAGTTAAGTTTGAAAGACACGTGCTGTGCCAAAATCACTCCCTTTTAACGATGGGTAAGTAAGCTAGATTTTGAAAGTTTCCAACTGTGAAACCCAGCCCAGTGTTGCCAAGTCCCTTCAGATGAAAGTAGCTAGCAGCACTAACTTCAACAGTTGCTAAATCTAGCGGGAAAGTCGCCAAGTTGGCGACACACTTACAGCCCGTCCATTCAGGCCTCCCTCCAAAGCCACTCCCCTAAAATTATCATTATGATTGTATTCGTTGTGCGAGGCAATTTAATCATAATTGTAAGACAGAAATGTTCTAGTAAAGTCATTTAAAAGTCCACCATTTCACAAGTCAGTGCTCAAAACTGTTAGCACTCATAGTATTGGCCATGACAACAAGCTTTGCTCATTGTTAAACAGTGTTGTAAAATATTAAACCGATCCAAGTTGCTAGTTAGGCAACGATGCCCTTCTTCCGAAGCATTCAGCCAGCGTTTTATGAGATGAGGGATCATCAGAAGTTGTTGAGACAATATTTTCTGTCACTGTGCCTCTCAGAGAGCAGAGAGGGAACAGAAAGAGACGCAGGCTGTTCGACTGAAGCATTTTTCTGTCTTCCCAGAGCTGACATTCAGTCATCATCGCTTCAAGGGAATGTAACTCAGTCATTCCTCAGGTGTATTGGCAAGCTATCACTCAAGCTGAGAACTGGATCGCTGTGCTAATACAGCAATACCTGCATTTCACACAAGAAATCTTTATAATAACAGTGCTAAACTACTGTAGGCGAGTGTATTTAACGCAGCAGACATAATAACAGCCGCTGCAGTATTCTTTCAGATTCATATCCTAAACGCAGTGTCCCGTAAATGACAGAAGTAAAACAACAGCTGTTGGGTGTGTAAACAAGTCAACCTCTATGCAGTTATTTTTCCACACTATCTCACTCTCCCAGCTTTATATATGTCTCTCCATCTCACCAAGAACAGACAACTCTCCCATCCAAGGTCCCACCCTCCATCTTTTATCTTTCCTCAATCTCTCTCTTCCTCTCTATCTTTGCCTCCTACCCTCAGACTTAAAGTATCAGAGATCTGACCTAGTTAGGAGATGCCTGAAGCTTTGGCTGAGTGTGCTTTGTGACTGTGTGTGTGTGTGTGTGTGTGTTTGTATGAGTGTGTGTGCATCTGAGGTCCGGAAGCAAGTCTGGTATCGCTGCCTGCCTGCTTCCCCCCTAATTAGACTTGTTAGCCGCCTCTTGGCTAATGATGTCTAATTTGCTTGCAGATTTCCTGTGTGTCTTATGTCTCTTCTCAATCTGGATGTCTCGCTCTCTCACACACACACACACGCACACACTTATTCTCTGCCTCTTCTTGTTCCCCAGACTCCCTAGTCAGCCGCTCTCTGGCTTTCCTTCTTCCTCTCAGCTAGGATTGCACCTGGATTCCCCAGTCACCTTGACTTTGTTTTTAGCATCCTTGACTCCCTTCTGTGCAGTCTCCTCTCAAGTTTCCTTGAGAAATGTGTCTTTCACAGACACATTTCCTTTGTATTAATACAGTATCCAACAGTCTGTTCCTGCACACGCTGTGTAATTTGTAAGTGCTTTAATGTAGGGCAGGACTCAGTGCCAACAATAACTTCAACCCGAATCCAAGAGCAGATGTGAGAAATAGTGTGGTTTTTCCTGTTCTTTAAAAATATTGAAAGTGTCAGAAGATAGGAGAGATTGTGGTCTAAACACAAATGTCCTTGTATTCTGAGTTGTTTGAAAGAAGCCCCCCCCATTATTTATTAATTAACCCGTTCAACTGCAGGTTGAGCTTAGCTGCATTTAGCATCTTAATGGAGTTCACACCTGACAAGTCCCCCGCAGGCTGTGAAGATTTTTTTTTATACACCCACAAACACACAATCGCTTTAAAGGATGCTTTTGAAATATTTTGAGTGTTAAATATGGAACACGATGTTTCCTCTGAGTCATGGATCGAAAATTCCTGTGCTTGTTGTGTTCTTTGGCATGAGGCTCTTGGTTTGAATAGCATTAGCTGACTATCAGGGAAGGAAGCAAGTTAAAATTAGCCAGTCTTTTTTCCAATGGCATGTCATGTTCTGACAGCCGGCTGGCTTGTCTTCAATAAAAAAAGAAAAAAGACGCTCTCCATAAATCTGAAAGTTCAGGTCAAGAGGAACTATCAAAGTGAGTTGATTAGAGACACCCTGTTCATCATTTGTCACCAGGAGGGCGGACCAACCTGCTGTTTCTCCTATCCGGATCTTAATTGCTGTATAATTACCTAACGACTTGCATCATCATGCAGGATGTGCCCACAGACAGCATTGGGATGGAGTTTATTCACTGGCTGCCGAGGGAAGCTGCAGCCAATGGTGCTTCATAATCATGATTTATTAACAGTCTCTGAGTCGTGTCGGTTCTATTTGCTGTAGCGCAACACAACAGATTGGAAATGTTAATATTTGTGGTAGAACGAGCAAATTGCGGTTTCTGCCGAGCACTTGTGCTGGGGGGCTGATGAAGGCAAACATATGTCCTTCAGATACAACAAAAAGTGTGTTTAGTGCATGTGTTCCCACAGTTGTGGACGTACGTTCATTTCGGTGTACCACTGGCCTGGACATGCGTCTTTGCAGTGTGTACACCGTGTTAATTGCATACACACCATCCATAAAATTGGGCAGAGGCCATGATTTATAAGGTGGAGAGTTGAGGAAGGAACGAGATGATTGTAATGCATTGATAAAATGGAGACACTCAATTTTCACTGCAGCCCACTAGGGGAGTGCTCATTAATCACCTAAACAAATGAAACACCTTATGCTCTCGACACTCTCTAGTCTCTGCTAGGTATTGAGCAATAGGGTACTGTATTCGAGCTCCTCTCTTAGCCCTGCTTCCTAATAGATGTGTAAGTCCTCCATTGTGAGCCTACTTACATCTTTAAAGAACAATGGCATCTGAAGATGCTTTCTTTTTCTCAAGAGAGATGCCAAACATGAATCTAAAATGAAAAGCTGCCAAGTAATTAGGGGGGCAAAGTCAAATTACTAGCCACAAGGGGTACTGCTAGTCTGTGAAAATAGTTGTATAATGTCGTGTGGATCTTGAGGCAACTTTCTGAAGTCTGAGGCATTTACTCAAGCTCAAGAGGGAACACATTTTTAACAGAAAGTCTGTGTTACAAACTGGGGGAATGGAGTTTGAAAGATGTGGGTGTTTAGCAAGCTGGTAGGGTCTGATGAAAAGATGCTCTGTAGTTGCATTATGGTAAGCGTGTGATCCAGTGTTTTTTTGGAGCTAAAAGTCAAGATATCTCGGCCTCTGGTGCTTTGATTTGGACCGTTTGTTGTTAACCACGGGGCTTCAGGGAATGCAAAGTCAGGCTGTCGGTTGATCCACCACTTTGGTCCAGACTTAAATACCCCAACAACCACATTGGATGGATTGCAATTAGTGCACACTAGCTTGACATGACATCTACATCAGCCTCAGGTGTACTTTGTGTTTAGTGCCAATTAGCAAATCTAATATCTAATATGTTTTTAAGAAACCTACACACAATCAGTGAGCCGAACCGAGGGAATCATGTGATTGATTTCCTCTTCTCTTTTTAAACGACACCTCATAGTGTGCATGAAAGGTTTGACGTGGATTGATGTGGATCTAAATGATCTTTCTTTGGGTCGCTACCTACATCCAGAGACTGCTGTGTGATCATTTGCCCAATGCATAGACTCCCAGTTAAACCACGTTTTCGACACTTACTTTGGATCTAGCGATAATCTTGTGCCTATTAAGAAGGCCAGCTAGAGTTAGCCCGCAAGTACCTGAATGCAGCATGTGCATCTGCTCTACCAACCCCAGAGTAAATAAGGTTCTTTGTTCTGTTTCATAACAGCATATGCTTGTTTCTCACCATGACATTTGTGTGGGGCCAAATTTTTGAATAATGCACACTGGTTTTGCATAGCTAAATGTCACGCCCACTGCAGTGTGGTGGAGGAGGTCGGGGAACAGAAGCTTTTGCTTAGTTCTTGGTCTGTGAAGGGGAACGGACCACCAGGGGCTCCAGCAGCGAAATACATAGAAGTGGTCCTAAAAAAGGCCATCACCTAGAGTACCTGTCTCATTGCATCTGTTAGGGTACAGATGAAGAAATGACCATTAGAATGCGAGCTTTACAAATGGAGGATACTGTGACTCAGTGTTTACCAACAAAGGGCTGCTTGAGAATGAGACCGAGTAAGCCAGGGCGTGCATTTCCCCAAATGCCTGCCTAAATGCCATCTTCAGCTCTCTAAGGTCATTAGTTAGAAAAAAATGTATGGGAGAAAGTTGAGGCAGACAAACTGATAGAGAGTGAAGCCGGCTCTAGCACTGGCTTATTCTGCTCCCTAATCTCTCTGGTGGGCTGCATTTGTTGCAGGCTAAGCCCTAAGATGCCCGGTCTGTATCAGCGTGATGGGATATGAGGAGCGACAGCGAGGGGGAAAAGAAGTGAGAAAGAGCAAGAAAGACAGATGTAGTCAGTTAGAATGAATCTCACCATGTAATTTCTCCTGCTGATCCTATTCAGCACGCTTTACTTATCTCCTCACAACCAGCGTATTTATTTTACACCAAAATAAAC